TCAAAGTTCTGCCTTGGTGAAGCGCGAAGGCAGGGTCTGGGAAATGCTCATTCCAAAAGTGGTTGGCGTTCTGGGTCAGGATGCAGAATAGCCGAACATGTCTTAAAATAGCGGATCCCCCTCCCCAAAGAACAATAGAATAAGAAAAGCACAGAAACGTCATGTTCACACCGTCCCCAAAAAGGATACAAGGTGCGCACACAGGTTTCGTAGGCAACTTGTGGGCCCGAAAGCCTGACTTGTTGCTTCACAGTTCGCTTTTGCTGGAACAGGCCGCCGATGAAAGGGTTGCGATTTCCAGCATACTGTGGGCCATAAGAACACGCTCAGATTGCAGCTGACGTTAGCATTGGAAAATCCGGCGCAAACTACTCAGAGTGGTCTTGAACAGGAATCCTTTTATTTTCTGAAGCTGACATTGCCAAAAGAGCAGCGCTGCTGTTAGTTGAGTTTTGAACGGATGCATGGCAAAGCCTCCAGCAAAGTCATCAATCCATACTGTTTTCCCTCATTGCTGGTGGTTGTGATACTCGTTTGCTATGGACAACATGATGGTACATCTTGGTGCTAATCGCAGATTCAAAGCATGTTTAGTTGTGATAGCCTCTGACAGACTGTGATATGGCGTCATTGTACCTTGCCGCGTAGTGCTTGCCTGACTCCAAGGGCAGTCGCCTACCTCCTTGGCCACTACGGTGGATGCACACCCTCTTAGTCTGGCCCACCTCGCAGGTGGAACATCCCGGGATGGAAAAGCGCGAAGCCCAGATCGCACCCAACGCCGTGGCGTTTGGTGTTGCGCCTGAGATTGGTGTGTCGGGCAATGACCATGGATGAAACCACCCGGCTGGGGTGAGCTGAGAATCTGAACTTTCAAGCAGGCCAGATCCCAACATCATGTGTGGAGTTAGTTCATTGGAGCACCGTGGGGAAGGAATGACTACCAATGGAAGGAAGGATTCATAGAGTCCGCCTATTTAATACCGAGCTCATCTGAAAGTAGAGCGAGCTCACCATGATAAAAGCCCATTACTTAGGGATCCAATTCTTAAATCAGTTTTTTGGATTTATCGTAAAATCTGCAGATCCAGTCTTGTCTCAACCACTCCAAAGGCGTCCGCCTGCCAGCGCGGCAGTGGCCGGCGCCGGGCACGTCGTCGGGGGCCCCGACAGAGTTTGTTCCATGGAACCCCAAAGCCCAAAAGCCGCCGTAGAGGAAGCTGCTGTTGGATCTTTGGGAGCCCCCTTCTGGGATTCCAAGCTGCGGCCTGGGCGCTGACATCGGTTTGGTTGCGTGGGGCAAAAGCTGTGGGTTTCATAGGCCCAAACAAAAAGCGGGTGCCGGGATCCCAGGACATTCATTGGAGTATTTTTTGTAGAACCCCATCTGATGGATGAGGTTCTTTGAGGAAGACCTGAAGTAAATGTGTGGTGGTCCTTGCTGCAGTGCTTGTTGAAGCACTTGACATTCATAGGCATGACCGTAAACCTTTGGAAGGAGTTGTATGTGCCCTTTGGAACGGTCCGTGTTGCGGGTTGATTTTGGGTTTTAGGGAAAGCAAGGGACAAACTAGGTTCTCGGCGACTGGTAGGAGGGAAACTTGGCCAAAGGTATAACTTGCATCACGTTCACCCAGCTGTAGTTGCGGCCGGACTTTGTTTTTTTCAGTCGACTCCTCAAATACCAGGTGTTTATTGTGACTCAACCGAGGGCGCCTTTCCTCCCAGGCAAAGCGACAGACCTGGCTCCATGAATCACGCAATTCTGGCATGACAGGCAGGGCAGGGAAGGGCCAGGGATATCAGGGTATCATGGTTGTGTGCAATGATGAAAGGGAAAGCACAAGGTTCATCAATGTTGCGTCACTTGTGCAGCATTGTGCGTATGGTATCTTTGCTGGCTCCGTTTTTGGAATGTCCTGAAAGGAAGACTGCCGCCAAGACATGTTCTATGTGTTTGATCACTGTTCAGCTGGGTTGCCTTACGTAGTTGCTTATGTTTCATAGGATCCACCAACATGTGCGGACCTGGTCAAAATGAGCCCAAATCGCCTCTCTTGGCAAGATCGCTGACATGAACAGCATGGTGTAACATGGCTTAGCATGGCCGCACTGGTGTTTCTGGAATGTCACAAGCCACTGCCAAGGTTTGGAGGCATAGACGGTGTATCCAGGAAATCGGCAAGCATCTCAGGAAACATGGGAGCGCGGCTGTTGCCCTCGACAAACTCAACCAACCTTTGGTTGTTTGGCCCTTGTGGGTTCCTTCAAGTTCCCTTTTCGAACTTCTGACTTGTTGCAGGGTCCAAGTCTGGCCAAGTGCCGCCGACAGAAAAGCCAGCACGCACTTAATGCATCTTGAATGAATCTGGCCAGGAGTGTGTTGATAAAGAACGGCCACACTGCAAATAGCGGCCGAAAATCCAAGTCTCCGCAGTACATGGTGTTTGCCAGCAGGCAGAGAAGAAGGCCCTTTCGGCATTTCCGAGATGAGTTCTTTTTCGTCGCAAGGTTCCTTTCAAGTCAACAACCAGCAAAGTCGTTTTGGTGCGATGGCCAGGCCGCAAGTAATACAATAAGGATGCTCATGTTAAAGCGCATCCAATCGACATCATGTGCAGGGATATACTGGGCCCTGTGCTTCGGATCATATGGTAGTGGACCCATGGGTTTTGGTGTTGCTGGTTTCTCTACTGCCCATGTCGACATCGACAAACACTTCCATGCTTCGCTTCACTGGTTTGTCCGATTGTGAAAATTCCGAAGTCCATTGGGGATGTGGCGGTGCAGTCGCTGGCCTCCCGCAAGCCTCGTCCAGGCCGGCTCCGGGAGCCGGAGGCTGTCGGGTCCAAAGTGGCACCAGTGGCAAGGCAGAAGCCAAGGGTTCCCCGCCCCTTGCGATGGCGCAACTTCTAAGGCTGATGCACTCTGAAACGTCTTGTGCCATGCTTGTTCAAGCAAGTGAGATGTCTTGCGAAGGTGTTCTAAAGAAGCTCCTCAAGCGGACCATGTTGTCAGCGAGACTGGTTCCAGATGTGCGCCACGGCGGATTTGGGTGGGGACTATCCTCACGTAGACCGCAGACTAGGGTCTAGCTCTGACTTGCGGGAAAAGGGTGACACAGCTTCGGAGAGTGCGCATCATGCACAGTGTATCCTTGCCCAAAAAGGCTCCGGAGTGATTTGGGCTCCGGGTTAGGGTTCCGGAAGGATTCCGGGGGTTGCTGTTTGGGATACAGAGTATCGGAGCAAACTGCGACAGCGTTCTTCAGGAAACAAACTGTGTCTGCAACTTGTCGGCATGCCATCCAAGCTTTGGCCGCCATTTTGGGATGGCCTGGCGCTTTTTCAAGGCGGTCGGGAAGAGGATCGAATTCCAGTTGGACTTGCTTGGCCAAGGAGGGCATTGAAGTGCTGTGAAGCAGTGACGGCTGGTCCAAATGTTCTGCTTCAATCTTTGGAAGCCAAGTTGTTGCAATATGTGCAAAGCCGACATGGGTGCTTCCTCAAGAACCCATGTGCGGTGGAAAACCGTGTTTCTGCATGTTTGTGTGTTTGTTCTAATCGCCATGTTTGTCTTGATTTCCTTGGCAAACACCATCGAAACAATGGCACCGCCGTTTGGCTCAGGGGGCGGCGGGGATCGGGGATTGGGGACAGGGCCCGAAAGTCGGCGAAGCGGCGTTCCGCCGCAGGCAGGGGGTATCAGCAAGCCTAGCCTGTCAGCGCTCCCCTTCATTTCCGGAACCTCCAAAAGTGGCGGTTTCAACGGAAGCCACCAATCAACAACAACCTTCGAAAGGGAAATCCAGTGACCCCTGGTAGGCAAGCGGACATCCTGAGGTTTGCAGTCGTAGCTGAATGGTTGCTAAATTTACTGGGCATGGCTGGGACATCTAGTTTATACAATGTTGGCCGAGGGAAAAGCAGAACCTCTAGCACTTTTGGGGCAACACCCACCCTTATCAACGCCGCAGGCCGGGGTTGGCCGATGATCCCAGGGTCAGCAATAGATTCTATGGGGATGGTGTATAAACGTGGGGTCCCCTCAAACAACAAAGAAACCAAGCATCGCGAGACCAGATTCGAAGTTGACCCTCATGCAATATGAACAATTCAAAATTCAAAGTGTTTGCTGTTTGTATTTTGACGGAGCCAAGACTGAAAAGCTGATTCCTTGTAAAAGCGCAGCTATGTGTTCGCCGTTAGCAGTTGGCGCGTTATCCTGCGGGGAGCAAGAGAGAGCAAAAGGAAAGAGAGTAAAAACGAGCAAAAGCGAAATATACAGCAAATGAAAAGGCTGAGGCTGTACAGTGTCACCAAGCAGCATGTGGACCATTATGTTGGCAGGGCTTGACACCCTGTACCCGAGTGGTTTGCCATGGAACAGGTGGCAAAATCAACACATAATGATTCGTGCACTCTTCTTCTGCACCTTTGAAACCAGGCGCTGCATGTTACCCCAGAGGGTTGAGCATCAAGACAGCGTCAAGGAGCGTGCATTTGATTGCTGAGCATGTTCTGTGCCAAGGTATTTGCAGTATCTCACAGCTAAAGTGTTTGAACAGTATGTTATGGGAAAGTCCTTCAAATAGAAGACGGCCAAGTCTTGATCGCAAGATTGTTGCTTGATTTCAACTGCATAGCCGTTTCCCTGAGCCAATGAACAGTCACCGAGTGTTGAGTTTTGGTTTCCCACATGGCACCCCCCGTTGTCAGCTTGGCGCATGTCATGCCGAGCATTTTACTGAAAGGTGAGATGTCAGCATGTGCAGCTTTAGGTGGAAGTCTTTTTCGCCCAACTCGAAAGTTTAGTCGAAGCGTCCATCCGTGCAATGCACTTACAAGGTATTGAACTAATGAAAGTTCATGTTACTGTTCACCAAGCCTTATTGACAAACATATGCTGGGGCTCTGACATCTAAGAAATGTGTGTGGTGAGTGATCTGTAAGCGAGGAAACAAACCTTCCCCGCCTTGAGGATCGCTTGGCTGAGGATGGATGGTGTCGCTGGGAGGTTGGTCCGCTCCCCGGATCAGCTGCGCTGGAGACGAACTTTGTTTCTAAAAAGACTAAGAGTGTTCTTCGTTTTTGCAGGCTGGAAGCTATGGGTGAGACCTGGACGCCAGAAAGCGTCGGTTTGAGTCAGGACACAACGTGTGAAGCCTTGGTTTCGACGTCAAAAAGCAACGTTTCAGGCCCGAGAACTGAAGCTGTTCGCCTGTGGCCGGAACGGTTTCGCAAGCGAAACGAGCAAAATTTGGAGCACAGTGCCCGGGGCGGCGTGGGAACCTTTGGTTTGGGGGTGTGTTTTGTTAGGATACCCCCGTATGGGGTTTGTTTAGAGAGCAAAAGCAAAAGGACATTTTGCAGGGGGCAGGGGGGGCTCCCTTGTTTTGGTACAGAACGCTGTTCAACCCCTGTTTTTTTCCGGATGAAAATTGGATTTCTCCTGATGCCTTGGTTGAAAACACGTGCAAAGCAGACCTCTTGTTGCCGGCTTAAGGGACTGGCTTGACAAGCTTCCAAGACACGAAGATGAGAGTGCTTTCGGCCAAAGCCCTGTTTGAACGGACTGCATGGTTACCTTTTGGAGCAAGCTAGAAGATCAGGAGATGAGAAAAGAGACTCCACTTCCATGCCTGTGACTTTTTTGCCGTCACGCTGTGCTGTTGTGTTCTGCGCAAACACGTCCGCGACTGCCGGCTGCTTTGACCAATTTTGCAGGAACAGCACTCACATGTTGGCGCCTTTCAAGCAGACCGGCAAGCGACAAAACAAAAAACTGGTTGGAAAGCAGAGTCCCTGGTGTTGTCAGGATAAGATGCTCGGCGAGCTGCGGCTGCTTGCGCAGCAGAAGTGCCACGAGGTTTGGCAGGCGGGCCAAGTCCGCTCTCACGTCGCGGACGGCTCGGTGGGTCAAACTGAGGCTCACCCTTTTTGCCTGTATTTCTGGTCCCAAGCAAAAACGGGCAACCCCAAGAGGGATTCCCTTGAGTGAAGTTCTCACGCTGCAGTTCAAAAGTCAAAAGTTGAGTTCGGGTTCGGCGCCAATAGATTCTAGGCTGCAAGCACTTCAAATGAGTCTGGTTTGGGGGCCGGTTGCATAGTGTCATGTCCATGTCTGTGTTGCCCGGACCTGTTTGCCTTGTTCTTCCTTTCTTGGTGGGCTTCCTTGGAGAAGCAGATTAGCGAGTCGAAGAAGGGTGCTAGCCTTTTTGCCCATTGTCAGGCGAGGTTCAGGTTTGAAACGTCCATGCAATATGTTTTGGAGTTCCCCGGTTGGCTTGGATCGTGTGTGTTGGTGCGAGAAAGTGGTGTTCAGCTAGAAAGAAAGAAAGTTTTTTCAACAGGGGGTCCACTGTGAACACCACTTAGTGGTGTTCACAGTGGACCCCCTGTTGAAAAAAAAGAAACTGACAAGCAGCGGGGTTACAGCGAAAGGAGTCACCCCGCGAAAGGCCGGGGATAGGAGCGCGAAACCAGAATTCAGCAACATGTACTGCAGAAAGTGCTTGTTCAACGCACTGGTCTCGCGCAAAGGAAACACGAGGGCCGGGAAAGGACGATGCAAGGACGACGATTAGGTTATTCGCCAACAAAAAAGTTGCCTTGTTTTCCCGCGGTCACTGGGAAGTTGGATGACATGCCACAGTCCAAGTTAGGGATAGACGTGGATCCTTCAATTGAGAATTAGACTGACGGCGCACAGATTCCCATTGCAATTCACCGCGACCGCAGAAGTCTTCGCCAAAATCAGGGAACATACCAAGACGCCTCGCACCGCTGGTTTGCCAACCACGAGGTTACAAAAATAGCAGATCCTGATTTTGCACTTGTTCCGTCGTAAGTGAGGGCTTCCATTTCGCCCAGACCTCGGCGCCACAGCGCCATGCCCTTGTCGAAATGGCCAACCTCAAGGCAGCTGAGGCTGGATGGACAGATTGATTCCACCCGCTTCGGAAACTCGATCCCCAGCAGGCCCGTTCATAAAAATGATCTGTGTGTTGACATGTGGTTGGGATGTTCACTGGGGGTACGGGATTTTGGACCCGTGGCCAGGTATGTGTGGTTGTTTTGTGTGTGTGTGTGTGCTGCGGGTTCCTTGATCCTTGAAAAGTTTCTGGAAAGGAATCCCTTTGACTTGGTTGACGAACCTATGTTCGATGAAGGATACTGCGTGACATTCACATATGAGCCTTTGGAGTTTGAAGATTGGACACTAGATCGCGAACGTGTAACATTTGGAATGAGAAACATACGATCCTTTGAATTGGGAACAGATAAAATGCACTTGCACAACACCATACGATTGGAGGTTGAATAGTTAGTGGCACGTTTGATGTAGCTCATCAGTTTTCTTCTCAAGAGGCGAGAGACAAGTTCGCACGTCTTTTCTGGTTGAGCTTTCACCAGCAGAGCCCACTAGTGATGAGTGCCTATTAGGATGGGATGTGAAATTAGTGCACGATGTTTGTATTCTAATCCTGAGTTCTAATCTTGAGCTCTAATTCCTAAGCATGGCGTTGGGTGGTCGCACCCTCGCGAATCAAGGTCGCATCCACCAACTGAAAACATATCGTTTGGGCTTGGGCAGATGTTGTTTCCTGTTCGCGGTTTTGCTACCAATGCACCGGGATATCGACTGTTCCAGCGTCGTTCTACGTATCCCAACGAGGGAAGCCGCTGGATGCCCTATGTGTTGCAAGGAGGGGACCGCGGGAACACCCGAATTAACGGTGGATTAGCATTGTTTGATGGGTGGGTGTGGGTGGGTCGCTTGCAATATTGAGGATGCCCTTGTGTCGGGTGTTTCTTCTGCAAAGTTCAGGAGAGGCGACTTGAATCATGGCTTCCACTGACCTCACGCAGCGCCAGGCTGCGGTACTTGTGAACAAGTTCCCAGGACTAGCGGCTTCTTGGCATTCGACTCGGGAGACCCTCGAACTGGTCTGCTTTTTCACAGAGCAGTTCTGGGCAACTGCCTTATGTGTGAAGGACCATAAAAGCAATCAATGGTCATTAGTGCAGATGTAAGGCCTGTTCTGAGTAGTATGGAACCCATGAAGGCGCACATGAGGTGGTAGTTCATTCAGGCAGCGAGCTTTCCTCATTCCACTGCATCACAACGCTCGCCAGTTCCAAACAGCGCCGGAGGCCTGCTGTTCTTTGCCCCGTGACCTTTGCCGGCCTTTCAGGTTATTTGCGCCGCCCTGCTGTGCGCAGCTCTGCTTCTCCGCTGGGAGCGCTTCTTTCCGGAGGCCTGGGAAACGGGGGATGAGCTGCTCAGGGGTCAAAGACGCAACTCAGGGGGTCCTGAATGGCGCTTCTTTCAACCCCCGATTGGGCCATGTTTGTTTGGGTTTTGTTTAGGTGGAACAAACGAGACAAGCCAGCTGATGTTTATCTCTGACTATATCGGTCAGAGATGCAACCAACAGAGACTTGCAACAACCTCTGGAAATTCAGCCTTCCCTTCGCCTAACACGGAAGCCCTGATGGTTGGTTTGAAACATGACTTTTGAGCCAATATGTAAGAGTTACTTCTCCGTTCTTCATAACCGCTGATGTCCCTGGAAGGATCACTAAAGAGAATGGAGAAGGACCTAAGAAGAAGATGCAGCTAGAGGTCCAGTCTCCTTTTCCGGAGATGTGGCTGTGGGTCAAAAACAATGGTACCATTTTGAGGTAGGTGCACCACCCATTTTAGTAGTTTTTTGTTTGGTGTGTGGGGATTGGGATGTTCACTGGGGGTATGGGCTTTTGACCCATGGTCATGTTTGAAAGGGACGCAGAGCCGGGCAGCCTGTCACCAGCGCTGCCAGGCAGCCGGCCCTGAGGAAACTCTCGCTGAGGCCCACGAAAGCGCGGAGTGGGAAGCAGCTCGGATTCTGAGGGCGCGAAGCTTTTCCGTAGCCTATTTTTATTAGGGGAACCCTCCCCCAAAAAGAAGCGGTAAAAGGGCACTACTGGGGGACCTGGTAGAAGCACACGCGCACAGATACGCCCTTATTCTAACCTCTCTACTGGAGGACCTAGTCTATTGTGTTTGCGCTGGAGTGAGGCTTGCGGGATTTGCCGCAGCCATGCAAGCACGTTGAAGATTTCCCTGCAAATGAAGATGGACTGTGCCCAGAAAAGACAGAGGAATCTTCATCATTTCTCATCTTTGGTGCGAATTCTAGTAATTTGCCCAGATGGGAACCAAACAGGGTGTCACATCAGAACGAAAGTCACGTGAAACATGGGCGATCACTTTGGGCCTCTTTGCTCCTCTGCACGGCAGGCACGGGGGTTGATCAAAAGGTCATTTTCTATGGGATGCCAATCAGGACTGCCAAAAAAGGGATGACTTGCACGACATGGGACAAGCTCCCCTTGTTCATCTGCCATGTCATGCCATGTGAAGAAAGAACCACTTAGAACCACTAAGAAAGAACCACTTCACTGTTAAAAAAACCACGTAGAACCCTGGATCTTCGATACCCGCCTCCTCTTCATGGCCACGGGGTGTCGGATCCCAGGCCGCTACCCCGACGAAGCCCCAGGCGCGAAGCCGAGATGGAACTAAGGTTTCGGGAAGTTCCACACCCGGCGGTCAAGCCAAGAGGGAGCGAAAAAGGTTTCGGGAAGTTCCATCGGAACACGAAACATAAATTTGTGAATGATCCATAAATGGGGAAAAACAACAACCATGCTAATGGTTCGCCTTGCAGCCGGTCCTTTCGATTTGCATGTTTGGCCGAGGTTTGCCTGTTTGGTTTTCCACAATTGTCCCAAGTTCACTTTAGATCAGGGGTTTAAGTCCCACCGCCGCAGCTGCTTTGGTCCCAGGCAGGCTTGAAGCCCAGTAGCTCGGACAGGCAAAGAATGGCAGCGAGAGAGCAAAGCCCTTGCCTATTGAGTTGGCCATGGGTCATAACCTATACATTTCTCTATTTTGGGGCGGATGAACACCCATGTACCACCTATTTTTTGATGTTCACCAGGGGCACAGGGTTTTGACCCACAGCCAGTTGGCGAACGTTCCTCTTGTGAGAAATCGTCCGTTTCCGTTTTAGTAAAGATCCAGAAAGTTGCAACTGTTTCACGGATGTCAGCGCAGGGTTTGTTCTTACAATGGATCCGCATATGAAGTCTGAAACTCATCCTTCCACGCCTGCCTCGACGAATTCTGATCGTGCCTGACCAAGTGCTGCCACCGTACAAGTTGTGAGTGGCTTCGCAGCCAGATTCAAAAGACACAATGGGACCACCATGGTTTTGGCTTCCCTTCAGCAACCACTTGTTCATCAGTCCCAAGCATCATTTCAGCCAGCCGTTCGGCACTCAGCATTCAGGGTTACCCACCCTGTTTTGAACCATCGCTTAGGCCATTCAGAGACTTTCCTCGGTGGGTCGCTGTTCGGCTGGGAGTCCGGGCGCAAAGCCTCCCGACGCCATGCCGGATGCCCCGGAGTTCCGCGCGGCGCAGATGCCCAACTTCCCAGGCGAAGTCCAGACATTCGTAACGGGGTTGATGAAAAGGTCTGGTAAAAATGGGATGACTTTCCATGATACATCACTTTAAAGGGAAGCTCCCTTGGTCACTCAAAGAACGTGGCAAACGTGGCCACCTAACACGTCCAAACGCCGGAGCATGGATACCAAAGTCTTGGAAGAGAATCTCCTTGCGCACTCACAGAAAGTGGCTTTCTCCTCGCGCTTTGGGCTTCTGGAAAACGGGGCATCCCTGGCTTCGCCACGAGAACCACCATGTCCCTCCTGTCGTGGGTGGACAAAATCCTTCACCAGTTGGAACAGTTGGAATGGATGAAACCCTAGGACAGGGATACACCTCCTGCCAATTGCTTCAACTGATGCAGGATTCGGGGGTTGATCAATATTCCTGGCCCCTAACTTTCCCATTTGGGAAATATCATCGTTTTAGCTTTCCAACCAATGGTCATCTTCCATTTGCTTAAGCGCTCCGGAAAACATGAACAAACATGTTCATCAGTGCCTTAGAGAAATCACCAGGGAAAACAAGCAATATTCATTTCAGCACCCTGGTTGATGTTCCGCAACCATTCTGTTGTGTCAATGGCGTGAGTGGGGTTGAATATACTAGGCTTTGTTTCCTGCGGCAAATAAAAGGCACAAGTTTTTTGCAAGAGGTGGCAAAAGGTCAAATAGCTGCAATCCGATATTTTCAGAAGCCAAGTGTGATGATGAGATCACTGGGCTCGGTCAGCGAATCCTGGAAAGGGTCTTCTCGAGATTGATCACCAAAAATTGGAACTTCACTCCGGCGTTGTTCTGTTGCGTGTGTTAGTCAAAAGGACCAGTGAGTGTTCGGTGCTTTGGAGTTCTTATGATGCAGTTAGCCCTTTTAGGTATTTGTTGATGCACCATTCTGAGTTACCAAATCTTGTCTCAGGGGCCCTCGTACACTGCAATACATAGCTTCAGCTCTTGTATGAGTGAGTTGCAATTGAACGTAAATCGGAGTTGTTGCATTTGCAGGTAGAAAGCTTGCTAGCTTGAAGACCGCGAAGACGGGTGGGCAGGCGATCGGTTGCAGCAAATACATCATGCAGTACCGGCGTTCTCCAAGATGAATCATTGGGATCTTGTGTTTGTGTTGTTTTTTTACATTTAGTTTGGTTTGGTTTTGGAATCTCGGGTTTGGTTTGGTTTGGTTTTGTTTGGTTTGGTTCACTAAGTATGGCGCAGCAGCAGACATGGGTCGAGCAACTTCAGGAATCGGCAAAGGAGCTGAGATCCTCAGAGCCCGGCGGGTTGACCTGGTGAACCTTGATGCAGTTTGGTGGACCCCTATGATGGGTGTTTCACAAATTGGCCCCCTAAAGTGGTTACTTTCTTCTTAATTTCCCTTTATTTTTCTGAACCCCCCAAATGGGGGTTGTCAAAATGATGCCCCCATTTCGGACCCTGGTGCCAGCTTTTAAAGGGGGACCCCACTTTTGACAACCCCCCACCCACCCCAGGTGGCACCATCTCAGCCGCAGGCGATGAGCCTTTGGACGAAGACGGGGATTCGGACGAGGAGTCCATGGACTTCGCACAGGCGACGAAGCTGCGCGAACTTCCGGTGGGATCAAAGTCGGGGTGTATCCAACCGCTGTGATACAAGCCCAGTTGCCCAGTGGATTCCGCCCCTTTTCCTTTCTTTTGGGGAGGGGCTCCCCTTTAAACTCAACCAACCAGAAAAACGGGTGCCCTTTCTTTTTTACCATGGCCACTGGGCATCTGAGTTCAGAAGGGTCAGGCTTTGGGAGGCCAAACAATATTCTGTATCACAGAAGCGGATCCCATGTCCCACAGCCGTGATGTGCAACGCAGGTTGTTGAATTAGAACCCACCAAAAGCAGGGGGGTGCTGCAAAGCAGCGCAAATGTGGGATAGTCAAACTGTTTCCTACTGGGGGCTTACTTAGAATGAGTGGTTATCAGTTTCTTGGGAGATTCGACCATCCGCTGATTCCACACTGCATGGATGCTCACGATGCTCAATGATTGGGCTCAAGGTATGCAGAACATGTGTCAGGATGTGCAACCGTGTGTCCTGCCTTTAATGTGTGCACTTGAGATGTTTTGGAATGTTCATGGCGTTTCATTCCGTCATCCAGTCAGCCAGTGCATACAGTCATGCATGCGGCAGTATTCATTCATGGACTTTGGGGTCTGCTTGCTTCTGGCCCCCTGGGTTGCATCAAACCTGTGTCACGTTTTGTGTTCACTGAATGCAGACCGCAACTCTGAAAACACTCAATTGCAAACATTGCCTGGTCAGAGGGCAAACAGGGCCTCCGCATATAGCAGAGGAAAGGACACGTTCTTTCTTTCACAAGCTGAATGTATAACCTCTGATATGTGAACCCCTGGTATGAACCTTAGTCGCTGTTTAGTAGGTGGTTTGTTTATCCAGCAGTCCAGACACCAACAGGCGCCAAAGTGATCAAGGGTTCTCAATACAGGAGTCCACACAATCAGCCTTCGATTCGTAGCATCGAGGTCCGCGGCTTTTGCTCGCTCGGATTTTTTTTTGCGAACTGAAACCCCATGTTGAGGGTTTCTTTCTTGCGCGCTTCCGAACTTCCGGTTTGCTCGGTTGTTTCAAGTTGAATCAGACTCAATCATAGCAAGCCCTTCAGCCAATCAACTACTTGATCGGCCTTGAGCCATTCTCGCAGTTCACCCCTTTCCCAGGTCCCCCAGTGCCCTTTTACCAACTTTTTTGGGGGGAGGGTTCCCCTACTAAAATGGACCACCCTTATTCTAACCTCTCTACTGGAGGACAGTTTCCGTCTTGGAACGGGATGGACCGAAGAGACAAAGGCCGAGAGAGCCGCGGGACCCAGAGATCCCCGCTCTGCGCGCGCATCTGCGCAGGGCAGCACGCGGGAGGCCATCGAGCGGCTGGCCAAGAGTGCTCCAAGCTCAGAGAGCGCAGTCCCACGAGCCAAATGAGCAGCCAAAACCCGGGGATCGATGAAGGTTAGAAAGGGACAATCCCAACCAATAGCTGCGGATATCCGCCTTCTTATTTCGTTGTATGTTCTAGGTCGACCATTTTAATACCGGGTTTTGATTGTGACTCCACTGAGTCAAAATGTCCCATTAAAACCACCAGAAATGGGAGGAGCATGGGGAACTCACTCATGTTTTCAGGGGGGCTCACTCATTTGTCCACATGATGGGTCAAGATTAGTCACCACCTGGAATCGGAAAGCAGATTTTAGTCCGTACCAGCCTTCCATTTTGGGGTTACCCTATTTTTGACCCACAAGCCAAATGAAGGGAGTAGTGCGACATGTGGATTGCTTGCCTATGATTCATAGGTGATTTCTCTAAGCCTCCAAGCTGCAGCTGATGAGCCAATTTGTATGGGCTGTTGAAGGGCAATCCTGAATCCTTGTCTTTCGTTACGAAGGGTCCCCTTTGATGGAGTATGGTCGTGTGTTTGTGACCTTTCGATTGACATGTTGTAGTTCGTGGCAAAAGCGGAGGTAGGTGTGATGGAAGGCCAAAAGGATCTGCTTGGAACCCCCTAGTGGTGGGAAAGTGGATGGTTTCCGTTATGCTGTTACCCCCTCTGAAACATCAGCTTGTCACTGCAGTAAGGTGGGGGGTGTGGTAGGAGCAGCTCACCATTTTTAGGACAGCTCGAAAGATGGTCTGAGGAGCTTTTCGTGCCACCATCCTGGTGTGAGGAGGCAGGGTCTGGGCGCGCAGTCAACTTGATCCTCCTGGTTTTTTTGCCAGGCAAACTAGGGAAATTCAGTGGCACCTTTTTTAATGGTTCCTTTTGGTTCTCCACTTGAGCATGCGTCAGCCAATTCCTGAGAGCAGTCACGGGTTTGGCATCAAGTCATGCCACAAGCGATTTGCGGAGCTGAACAAGCTGCGATTTGAGGCGCTCGAACAAAAACAATCAATTCCTGCCTTTCAGCTTTGACTTTCCCCACACCCCAAATAAACATACCCCAGCCAGGGGTGGTGCCTTCATGTAGAGGCCCCACAAGGTCAGACACTGTCGCCGCCTCAGGCAGATCCAAAGGACGAGGAGGCAGGGCGGTCGGCCTTTGATTCACTCACCCCGAATCGCGTAGCGTGCGCGTCTAACGCAGATATAATATGTAGCAACAATCGTGGGCATTGTCCCTGTTGGGTCATATGGATAGCACGTACACCGGGCGGAACCTAGCAAAGGAGTGCGGTGGTTTGCACTTGCGCCTTTTGGGGCTATGTGTTCCAGTTGAGTTTCATTGGGACGTTTCAAGTGAACATTTGGCTGCCAAGTAACCCATAGACTAGTCTTTTAAAGGAAATGCGGGGGACTCCTCAATGGAAGAAACGCAGTGTAGTGTACAGGAACCGTCCTTTTCCATGAAGGGCGAGGTTATCCAACGCCTTTGTGCCTAAAGACCCCGCCATTCTTGAAAGATTTTGAGGTGCTTTCTAAAAGAGTCCAAACTCTATTGTGAGAGGCAGTTGTTTTTTGTCGTCGTCATTCAGGGTCCCATTTTGTCCCTTTCCGTCCGATCGACAGTCACACCCGTTGTTTTGCTTGTTGTCCCAGATATTTAGAGGTTTGAAAGGGACACCAAAGGGAACGTTGAGGAAAACCATTTTAGACGAAACGATCCGTGTCATGCTGTATTTGACCCAGGCCTCATGAGATGTTGCTTGCCTCAGAATGAACCATGTTACCCATCCATGACCAAAAAAGGCTGGGACATGCCATAAATCGGATAAACCCATTGCCATCAACAGATCAAAACAGTGTACCCTGAAGCTGGGAATGAGGGAATGACGCTCATAAACCATCCAACTGATGGGTTCTTTTAAGCCCTTGGGACCCCCTAGGCTCATTCCCTCATTCCGTGCCTATGGCACCAGCAAGGGGAAGCCATGAAAGCCTCACCTACCCCTTACACCCATACCCTCTTGTTTTAGGGGTATCATGTCGACCCTCTACTAAAAAGATGGGTATTTTTTACCATGGAAACCCAGGTGTTTTTAGTATACCCCAAAAAACCCTGGAAACCTATGGAAACCCAGGGAACCTCTAGAAAAAGGCTGGGAATTTGGAGGGTTCTTCAAAATATGCCCCACGAAAAATTGGTATTTTGGAGGGGGTTTCAACATATACCCTAAAAACAGTGGGTATTTGGAGTAGGGGGTACCTAAGCTCCGTCGCAGGAGGACCTCACCGGCCAGACCGCCGAGCTGGTGGGTACCTTGCGGGAGCTGGCAGCGCCTCGGACGGGGTGAGCAGCTGGGTTCAGTTTGGGTCCACCCGTTGGTTGTCCTTCCCTTTTTTCTTGGAGGGGGGTCCCAAGAAAATAGAACAGCCCCTATTGTCCTGGTGTCAGCCGTCCACCCAAGGTGTGTCCTCCCTTTTTTGTTTTGGAGGGGTCTGTTTGTCCTTCCTTTTTTTTGGAGGGGGGTCCCTTTAAAATCAACTACCAGCCCTGGATGTCCTTGTCCTTCCTTCTTCCTTTTGAGAGAGAATCCCTTTAACATCAACCACCAGCCACTGGTTTGTCCCATGGGCAATGGTCTGGGCGCAAAAGTTGTTGGTTTCTTGGTGGTGTCCAACTGACATTGCCAACTCGCCCCTGCCTTCTTCCGGTCTTCCCCGGCCCCCAAAAAAGGGCAGAGCATGTTTTGGGAGAGGCATGGGGTCATGGGGGCTCACACATTTCTCACATTGCCCTACAACCACAAGGGTGACTCACTCATTTTTCCAAATGATTACGGGTCAAAATTAGTCACCACCAGGAATTGGACCGCCAATTTTAGTCCTTGTTCCCATTTACCAGGCTAGCCCATTTTGGGGTTACCCCATTTTTCATCAGCCCACGCACCCACCTTGTGCCGAGGACGTGAACCGGCGCCGGGCTTCGACCTCCTCGGCGCCGTACCGCCGCACCGCCACCTTTCCGGAGGTGACGCAGAGCCAGGCGCGAAGGGATCAAGTCGTTGTTATCACCGGGGACTCCCATTGATGTGGCTGTGGTTGTCAAAACCGTTTTGGGATCCCATTGTGGGGGTGTTCGGTGAATTCACCACCCTTTTCTTGAACCTATTTTAGTGGGGATTGATTGGGATGTTCACTGGGGGTACGGTTTGCCGACCCAAGTGCGCGCTCGAGCCGGAAAAGCCTTCCCAGATTTCGAAAAATGGACCCGGGACCTTCGGGCTTCCGGGTTGGCATCGTAGGAACGCTACAACGCTACAAGCCTTTCCACGGGTACGCTTGGCATCCTGATTGAGCGCTGTTTGCGGGCTGAGTTGAGATGTTGATTTGTGCGGGGCCTTTGGGCTTGGGACTGGGTTGAAGGCAAATGTTATGCTGGAAATGTCTGGCTTTGCCGATTTGCCAAGTAAATGGCATATGAGTTGGCATTCTCGACCAGGTTCTCCGGATCACGTCTCCTGTTGTCTCTGTTGTCTCTGTTGTGTCTGTTGTGTCTGTTGTCTCTGTTGTCTCTGTTGTCTCTGTTGTCTCTGTTGTCTCTGTTGTCTCTGTTGTCTCTGTTGTCTCTGTTGTCTCTGTTGTCTCTGTTGTCTCTGTTGTCGCTGTTGTCGCTGATGTCGCTGTTGTCGCTGTTGTCGCGGCTGTCGCGGCTGTCGCGGCTGTCGCGGCTGTCGCGGCTGTCGCGGCTGTCGCGGCTGTCGCGGCTGCCGCGGCTGCCGCGGTTGCCGCGGCTGCTGCGGTTGCCGCGGTTGTCGCGAAACTTCAAGCTTTTTGGTTGCAGGTTCGTTGTTGTTTCAGTAAAGGCCCAACACGTTGAAACTCGTTTTTGGCCAGTCAACTGAGCAGGTCAGCTCAGGTGTTGCACGCAAAGGAAGCCGTCCAATCATGACATGAATGCCTTCAATATTGCCACCCGAAACCGATAGGGGCCACCCCGGAACCCGATATCGCTGTGCGTTGCTCACATGTTATGGAGGTGTTCCTGCAGCCTGTGCACGGCAAATGACCAGACACACATCTAAGTGCCTAGTATTCTGTTCACGCCTTGGTGATTCTGTCCAACCAGGGCTTCATGTTGACCATTTGGGGTCCAAGGCCTCTGATTTCTGGGTCCCGTTTGACTGACTAGCACCCAGTCAAGGCTGTGCTTTGTCATGCCCAGCCGCATGTATGTTGAAAAGGGGGCCTGGGCACATGCTTGTCTTCCAGTGCCATCCCCAGATCTTGATGTGACATGCATAAAACAACACTGGAAGTGCACAATGCCACAGTTTGAAGGTCGGTAGCTGAATTGGGTTCAACGCAATGCTGCAGCCAAGGCAGAAACGTGGGGACGCTCCCAACGCTTCAGCGTGCTTTCTTGTTACAAGTTATTCCCAGGCTTGAGGAGCCCGGCCAAGACAGACCTACAATGTCAAAATCCAGAGAGACCCCGGAAAAACGAGGCAGCATGCCAGAAGTGGGCAAGCTCCCTTCAAATCTCAATGAGAACCCAATGCAGGTGTTTGTCAAAAGAAGCGGAGGGTTCCCTCGGCGGAACCCCCTTCATATTGCAGGCGCACACCATGCGGCGCATCCACTCGGAGCAGCTGAGGCACGCGCGCAGCGAGGAGAAGGAGCAAATGTGCAGCAAGCATAAGTGTCCTTTTTGGTTGTTTTGATGGCGATTCCTGGTTCACCTGCTGGTTTCATCTACCAGGGCCGTCTATTTGCCCTAAAAGGACACCTATGGCGCCAAGAAACAACCCAAGCACCCGAAACCAAACCGGCGTCTCACTGGCATTCCGCAATCGCATTCCGCACGGGTTCTACTTGTACTGATATGTCCTGGTGTATATACTGGGGGGGCCAGGGGGCCCGGTCCTTGTTTGAATTTTGGCATACAAAGAATATTAGTAGTGTGGATTACATTGTAGGCGGAAGGGATGGAGTTAGTAAGTTTGGCAGAACCAAACAATCAATGGGAATCCGTAGTTCAGGTGGCTGAATGTTAACACAGATTGTGAGAGGGTGGGTCGAGGCGACCGTTCAAGCCTGTGCTTTAGCTGATCTGGGGGTGAAACGGGGGCAAAAAGGCGAGCTTCAGTCAGGGTGGACAGTGTTGATTCCCAATTTGGCCAGGCTCCTTAAGCCAAAGCCTATTTGCAATCTGATTTTAAAAAAATATGAGGTTGCTTTTTTTCCAAGCACCCGGTTCTAACCGAATCACTCGTAGCCAAATGGGGACCTGTTTGGGATCCTGTCCTTTCAGACCTTTCGAAAGCTGCATCGATGAAGTGTAGGATTCCTCTGCCAAAGGAGCTATTGGCAGACCCAGAGATGCCCGCCCGTCGGCCCAGCTAGATTTCCAGCTTGGGTTGTTTTTCTCTGAGAGAAGCGTGGGTGGGGGTTTTGCAAAGGGAAACAATATTGGGGAAACAAACAACTTTGGGGTTCCCCTATTGAACACATAACCATGTCTCAGCAAGATCAATACCTGGTTGCCGAAGGGGTTCCCCCTTTCAACTCTTTTCAGTGTTGCAGTTTCCCACTAAACATGGTCAACCAAAAAGAGTTCCTTCTTTTCCAGGTCAACAGGGCAACCCCAAAGGGTGATGCCATGCTCCTTTCCTGCAAGGAATATGAGGCAACCACAACCACAGCAGCAGCAGCAGCAGCAGCAGCAGCAGCAGCAGCAGGAGCAGGAGCAGGAGCAGCAGTAGCAGCAGCAACAACAACAAAAAACAAGAAAGCAGCCGCAGCCGCAGCCGCAACGACACCGACACCGACAACGACAACGACAACAACAGCGACAACGACAACGACAACGACAGCAACCACAGCAGCAGCAACAACAACATTTGCCAAGGACCAATGTTCAGCTGTATGTGCCCTTCATGGCAACGAAGCCTCAGGTCCCGGACGAGACATCTTCCCCTTCACGGAAAAGATCACACGACGACTCCGAGGAGGCCGAAGCGACAGTCCAGGGCCCAACGCCCTAGAAGCGTACTCCGAAGACATTCAAAACCGAGCCCTAAGCGGTGCAAGCAGAAGGCTGCGTAGGCACCACGCATGCCTGACTTATCCTGACTTCAGGTGCCGAAGTCCCCTTCTTTGGCGTCTTCCCCACGGAGCAGGCGCGTGACACATGCGCGAGGTTCTTGGGGGAGGTCAACTGAATGGACCACTTTCCCAAGTGCTTTCTGGTGAGTGGTGGGTGTCCAACTAAAGATGGTCATCCCCAAAAGGGGCGCCAACTATTGGTCACTGGGCTATGGTGTCATACACAATGAAGGCGCCCAGGAGCCGAAGGAAACGTGCTTCACAGGCAAGCGACTCACCTGGCATAGTCGCATCAGTTTGGGTCGAAGTAGAGACCCTGCGCCTTCTCGTTAAGTGGCTGTCCCTCAACTTGGTTTTGCAGGGCCAAACCATTGTAAACCGATGATGAGGAAAACAAAACAACAAACGATACCCCCAGAAGCCAGGAAGACACAGTTGGTTCCAATAGTCTTGGTTCTGTGTTGTTGACAAGCTAAATGAGGCAATTGTTGATAAACCGAGGAGGTTCCGGAGGTGAAACTTACAGGCCCCGACCTGATACTCAAACCGATACTTAGTCGACACCTACCCGGTACCCATGCCTGCCAAATCCAACCAGCTGCCCGGTAGCACGCCTTGTCTTTGGTTTGTTAGCGTTTGCTATCTTTCACCAACTCCCCGAGTTCCTCTTGATGGCCGAACCTGCATTGGAAACCGATGCTGTGGAAATAAACGAGACTAGCCGGTACTAGGGGAGAAGCGCATAAAGGTTTCATACTGGGTCTTATTTCGGCCCATTTGATTCATAAACACTGTTCCAAATGGCCCTGGTGAATGTGGTGTTGCGTGAAGCCTGGTGCCATTTGTCTACGCCTAACTTCCCAATTATTTTTAGGAGTGGCCTGGGTCAATAATTCACTTGCAATGACAGCGTGTCTCTGGGTTCCCGGAATGATTGATTTCCCCAAACGGGAGACCCCTCAAGTCTGCCTTGGGGTAGTCGGAAAATGCGTGTCTCTGGTGCGTGGAGTGACTTACGTTGGGAGGAAATGGATGAGGCAGCAAAAAAGTAGCGCAGGTACACTGGCGCCAGCTCGCAATTTTGACACGCCTTTACTTCTTTGTACGTCCCACCAGTTCAGGCCAGACAGCGGGCAGCCTGAGAACCACGATGGGTGTTTTGGATGCAAGGCGCTTGATCGTGCATCCTGGTTGCGGGAAAAATCGAGGATATCGATGTTAGTGGTTCCCTGGCTGTTTGTTATGCTATTGGACATCAATGCCCACCTAAATGATGTCTGCCAACAAAAATGCGCATGCAGCTGCCTTGGTCTGGAAGTCTGAGGCACCCTTTCACTGCCGCAGGCGGTCCACTGGTGATGTGGGGCTCAGTCTGGAAGAAGAGGCGCGGGGCAACACAGCTAGTTCGTTGCTAGTGGGTCGGCTAGTAAGCTGCCTTTTAAGCGGAGAAATGCAAACACCGGACGCTGAGTGGTCGAGGGTTGCGTGGAGCAAACTGGAAAACGAGGACCGAGTTGCCCTGTTAAAGTCTGTAGAGGCTTCACATTTGACGGCAGCGAAACAGAGCGTGTGGCTGCGCCAATGGTCTTCACTCCAGGACTCCGCTCTGGGGACTGCCCGCTCAACACAGCCAGTTTCTGCAAACTGCGATAACACGATGGATTGTTGCACTGTTCTATATTCTTTGGTTTGTGACGTACCACAGAGTTGTCTTCCAAACTTAGGTGCTTTCGAAGCCTTGTTGTGGTAAACAACGTCACCAAACAATGCCAAAAAACCAGCCAAGGCCAAAACCATACCCTTCTGTTCTCTTCTTTTTCTTGCCGAGGGCCAGGAGGGGGGGGTGCAGCTTTTTTTGGGTTTGGCCCACTTCCTGAGTCCCTGCACTTTAACAACTTTTCGGGTAGAGAATCCATTTTTCTGGGCCAGACTCAGAAAACAAGGGGTGAAGTCACTTTGGCGAACCCCGCGCGAGGTCCAATCTCTCGCGGACCACGAAGGTCTTCCGGCTGCTGCGCCGGGAGGCGCGGGCGCTGCTGAGCCACGGGGAGGAGTGGCTCCAGGGGGGCGGCAGCCTTCACCTGGGCCGCGCGCCGCGCCGAGAGAGAGAGAGAACCCGGCGGGGGGAGTGGACCCAAAACGGGTGGAGTCCCTGGGTGCCCCAAAAATTGGCGAAAAATACGGTGAAACCGCGGGTGGTGAATCCTGGCAATGCCATACCTTCCTGGGTGTGTCTTTGGGGGATGGCCACTATCCCTTTTCAGAAGGACCGCTTTGAGGGTCCCCCTGTTTTGACTCATACCCACTGCTGGCCTAGATTCTCTGGCGTGTGTACAACCAAGCTGAAACCAGTGAAATCCATTAAGAATTCGTTCTCAACCAAGCCGCGCCTAAGGACCACCTATGCCTAGACTGCTGGGACCCGCTGGCCTACCCTTTCAAATTCTGGGTGTCGAAACAGGGATCTGCCAACCTTGGATGACCCATCGCTGTGTTCTCCTGGAGGTTGGCTAGTTTTTGAAGGGACGATATACTTAGATGGCTGTGGGTCAAAACCAATGGTACCATTTTGGGGTAGGTGCACCACCCATGTTTTTGCCCATTGAACTGTTGGCCTGGCGCGCCACGGTCCAACCACAAGGAAAGCCCCATTTCAGAGGTCCCCCATCCTGTAGGTTTAATTTTCTCGTTGGCTTAAAAGGGAATATCTAGCACTGGAAATATGTTGAATTGTGTCCAGAGGACTTTTCTGCTTCTGGGTTGCGCCTGTTGCACCGGCGGATTTGCTCCTAGATTCCAAGACAAAAAATGGGGGTCGTATTTGTTTTCCGGAAGCCTTCCCCATTTGGATTAGATATTATGTTTTTTCTGTTTTTTCCCCGGAAGACTTCGGCAAATGGTGCCTTAAGTACCCTCCCACCAATTAACAGCCGGAACCTCACGTTCGGGGCTCGGGTCCTGGTTCGCACCATTCTCCTGGGACCGGGTACGTCAGGTTGCAAGGGTGGGAGGGTACCCTTCCTCCCATGGCAGCTGACAGGTCCTCCAAAATCGAAAGTTCGAGTCTTTGGTTTCATTTCTACCAAGCTGCCATCTTCGTACCTTGGTTTGAGCCACATTGAACCGACCCGATCCGAGGTGGGGCTCCTGGCCAAGGAGGTCATGGCGCTGCTGGGGGCCACCAGCCCCGCGCTGCCGGCCCCGGAGCCGGAGCTGGAGGCGCCGAAGTGGGCGGCGGAGGGCGGGGAGGTCTCGAGGTCGGCTTCCTGTGGCTGCTCAAAAGAAGCTTAGCCGAAATGGCGCCTTGGTTTGTGGAAGCAAAGATCAAGACATGCGTGACCTTAGCTGCTGAAAATTTTGAGCCACGACCATGTTTCCCCCTTTCGGAGAGACAACAGGTGAACAGATCCTGCAAGCCACGTAAGATACTCAAAGTACACAAGGGATGGTTTTGCAACACAAAAGGTATCTGGAACCATGTCCAGTGAACCAGCCTGAAGCCAAAGCAAAAGAGGACTCCCTCATTTATATGTCCCCTCATCAGTGTCCTCACTTTAAACTCATCAGCGCAGGTGGAGAACGTCCGGGAGGTTCCCTGGGACAAGACCCACATTTGCTTGCGCCAAGGAGGAGCCTGGAGTTGATCTCAACGATCGGGACCCGGTTAAAAACCCTCAGGTTCTGAAAGCGAATCGACTGAATCGACCTTTTGACTGTTGAGCTTCTTTAATATGGTGCAATTTTAGTATCCCACGGTTGGCAAATCAACGGTTTTGGCTAAAACGGTTTGCCTTGAACATCTTGGTGGGTGCCTCTGTCACGAAGTGTTTTGTTGGGTGTCCCTTATGTGAGGAGTGAAACCTGTGGAAAAGGCCCGAGTTTCTTCAAGACCCACATGCAATCCTGCCTTGCGCCTCGCTATTCGAGCTGAAAATCCCCATTGACTTTGTCCAGCCGGGATAGACTCTCTCTGGGACTCATGGGGTTCTCCCTCACCCCCGGAAAGTTTCTCGCCCTTCGGAGACCCCACGAACAACGTGCTTGGAACCCTTCCTGTGGCTGGTGAGTCTTTGCTGCTCCACAGCAACCTCCACCCTGAATCATAGTCCCCACGGTTGTTTCTGAAACAGAAGGGGTGTCTCTCCATTTTGGAGAGCATCCAGGTCACTCTTCTAAGGGTAGCTGCCTTCTTTTCGGGGATCCTTCTGTCGATGATAGCCGCTCAGAACTAGGTAGAAACGTTTGGTTGAAAAGAATGGGCCAAACCGGTTTGTTTCCTCGAAACTTTTCTTGATTTTTGGCCATGGCGGCAAAACACAGCCCCCATGGAGTCCCCTTCTGTTTTTGTTCGAAAGGGTTGCTTGGCTTGGAAGGGAATCCGAAGGACCACCATGTGTAGAATCCCCACATCGACCGTCAGGAGTTCTGCAATGGGTGCGCCCACTCAATGAGCGCGCCGAGCGAGAGGACCGTGGCTCGGCGAAGCTAGGCCCTTGACCGCACTCCCCGAGTTCCGTTTCAACAGGACGTCACTTACACTTTTTCTCACTTCCCGAGTTCCTTGACTTTAGACTTTTTGGGAAGACCAGCTTAGTGGTGAATAGAAAAATTGGACTTTTTTTGGCCAATCCACTCAGGAAGTGACTTGTGAGAAAACTGTTTGTGTGACAGAATGGTGAAAGCCAAGCTTGCACACTTTGGACACTTCGACTTGCCGTTCGCAGGCATCAAAGACATCGCAAACGTGCGCTGTTGCTTTCAAGCTCAGGGTGACGCTCGAAGAAAGGCCCAAAAGGACCTTAAATGTTTCTGGGGGGTTCTTTTGAGGGATTGGCTTTGTGGGTGCTGTGGTTCCACTTTAGACAGATTTGTTGGCGTTGTTAAGCGGTGGCAGGCACAAACCCAGCCGCTAAACCTTCGTCGACCATTGGGGCCCACCCGGCTTTTTCGAGAGTAGGGTTCGTGTTGAAATCAACTCAAAACGGATGTGCTTCGGGGGTAAGTGCCAAAAAAAGGACGATCCCTTTGACGCAGTTTCCCCTTTTGTGCAGTTTCCCTTCGGCAGAAAGATGTCCTATTGTGCGGATTGGGACAGCATGCCATGACTTAGTTGGGAGTTGGGATGCATGGAGTATCCAGCGGCTCGGTCTTTGGATTGTTCTTCCTCATAGACTTGAGCAACACTTGCTTCTCTCCCATCCGGGAGGTCAATCAAGCAGTCCTCCTTGCTCCCAGCTTCCAAACATTTGTTACTTGCGCTGGGATCCTTCACCAAGCAAGTGCCTTTGGATGCCTCCAGGGATCTGAAGCCAACTCGGGCATGGGTCAAATATGCGACCCATGGAATGCAGCAGTAGCTACGCATATCTGATTTCCTAAATTGCGGCAATGGAAATGTCAAATGGAAATCCTCACCAAGTTAGCCCCATTCGTTCCATGTTGATTTGTGGGGGACAACGCATTTGTTTGTGGGTGTTCTTCCCTCCGGCTGGATGGATGGAAACAACTGCCATGTTAGCTTTAAAGCACAGGGGCCAAAAGACTCGAGCAACCAGAAGCCACCAAATCAGAAGTCTGTGGCAGAGAAACATCTTCAATGCTCATTGACTCATTGTTCAAGACGATTGGAATAAAATGAGTACAAGTTGAGGCTCACCTCAAAAGTGGCCTCTGCAAGGTGGACGATTCAGGTCCTTCCCAGGCCTTTCGCTTGCGGAGGCTCGGACAGCCTCTCGGTGGGACAGATTGGGCCTCTGCATGGCGGCAGCGTGCCTTGGATGGCTGGAGTTCGCGCTTGATGCCCTTGCCATCCATCCTTGTCCAGAGTTCAGTAGGTTCTACCCTTCTCCCTTTTATGTTTGACCAGTTGGCAGTCCAGGTTTGAATTTTTCCCCCTTTCATGGGAACCACTGGGCCAATTGAGTTAGTGGGACCAATCGTTTGACTAGCAGCCAGAACACGCTTCCCATCCGGCGATGTAGGAGGGTGTCCAGCCATGTTCCCCAAGTGCCTGCTTCTTGTTTCTTTCCAGCCCCTTCGGCTTTGAGATGCGTGGCATTGATCCAACCATGAAAGCTAGGGTTCAAGAGGTTAGTGCATCAACCAGAAGCGGCCGCCCTTGTTGTTCATGGGAGCTGAGGCAAAGTGGTCATACAAAGCTGGTGACGAGTGTGTGTGTGTGTGTGTGTGGTGTGTGTGTGTGTGGTGTGTGTGTGTGTGTGTGTGGTGTGTGTGTGTGTGTGGTGTGTGTGGTGTGTGTGGTGTGTGTGGTGTGTGTGTGTGTGTGTGGTGTGCGTGGTGTGCGTGGTGTGCGTGGTGTGCGTGGTGTGCCTGGTGTGCCTGGTGTGCGTGGTGTGCGTGGTGTGCGTGGTGTGCGAGGTGTGCGTGGTGTGCGAGGTGTGCGTGGTGTGCGTGGTGTGCGTGGTGTGCGAGGTGTGCGTGGTGTGCGGGTGTGCGTGGTGTGCGTGGTGTGCGTGGTGTGCGTGGTGTGCGTGGTGTGTGTGGTGTGCGTGGTGTGCGTGGTGTGCGTGGTGTGCGTGGTGTGCGTGGTGTGCGTGGTGTGCGTGGTGTGCGTGGTGTGCGTTGTGTGCGTGGTGTGCGTGTGTGTGGTGTGCGGGGTGTGCGTTGTCTGCGTGGTTTGCGTGGTCTGCGTGGTGTGCGTGGTGTGCGTGGTGTGTGTGGTGTGTGTGTGTGTGTGGTGTGCGTGGTTTGCGTGATGTGTGTGTGTGTGTGTGTGGTGTGTGTGTGTGTGTGGTGTGTGTGGTGTGTGTGGTGTGTGTGTGGTGTGTGTGTGGTGTGTGTGTGTTGTGTGTGGTGTGTGTGTGTGTGTGTGTGCGTGGTGTGCGTGGTGTGCATGGTGGTGGTGCGTGGTGTGCGTGTGTGCGTGGTGTGCGATGTGTGTGTGTGTGTGTGTTGTGTGTGTGTGTGTGTTGTGTGTGTGTTTGTGTGTGTTGTGTGTGTTGTGTGTTGTGTGTGTTGTGTGTGTGTGTGTGTGTGTGTGTGTGTGTGTGTGTGTGTGTGTGTGTGTTGTGTGTGTGTGTGTGTGTGTGTGTGTGTGTGTGTGTGTGTTGTGTGTGTGTGTGTGTGTGTGTGTGTGTTGTGTGTGTGTGTGTGTGTGTGTGTGTGTGTGTGTGTGTGTGTGTGTGTTGTGTGTGTTGTGTGTGTTGTGTGTGTGTGTGTGTGTGTGTGTGTTGTGTGTGTTGTGTGTGTTGTGTGTGTTGTGTGTGTTGTGTGTGTTGTGTGTGTTGTGTGTGTTGTGTGTGTGTGTGTGTGTGTGTGTGTGTGTGTGTGTGTTGTGTGTGTTGTGTGTGTTGTGTGTGTTGTGTGTGTGTGTGTGTTGTGTTGTGTGTGTTGTGTGTGTTGTGTGTGTTGTGTGTGTTGTGTGTGTTGTGTGTGTTGTGTGTGTTGTGTGTGTTGTGTGTGTTGTGTGTGTTGTGTGTGTGTGTGTTGTGTGTGTTGTGTGTGTTGTGTGTGTTGTGTGTGTTGTGTGTGTTGTGTGTGTTGTGTGTGTTGTGTGTGTGTGTGTGTGTGTGTGTGTGTGTTGTGTGTGTTGTGTGTGTTGTGTGTGTTGTGTGTGTTGTGTGTGTGTGTGTGTGTTGTGTGTGTGTGTGTGTGTGTGTGTGTGTTGTGTGTGTTGTGTGTGTGTGTGTGTGTTGTGTGTGTGTGTGTGTTGTGTGTGTGTGTGTGTGTGTGCGTTGTGTGTGTGTGTGTGTGTGCGGGTGTGTGTGTGTGTGTGGGGGTGTGTGGGCGGTGTGTGCCTTGTGTGCTTGTGTGGGTTGTGTGGGTTGTGTGGGTTGTGTGGGTTGTGTGGGTTGTGTGGGTTGTGTGGGTTGTGTGGGTTGTGTGGGTTGTGTGGGTTGTGTGGGTTGTGTGGGTTGTGTGGGTTGTGTGGGTTGTGTGGGTTGTGTGGGTTGTGTGGGTTGTGTGGGTGTGGGTTGTGTGGGTTGTGTGGGTTGTGTGGGTTGTGTGGGTTGTGTGGGTTGTGTGGGTTGTGTGGGTTGTGTGGGTTGTGTGGGTTGTGTGTGTGTGTGTGTTGTGTGTGTGTTGTGTAGTGCGTGTGTGTTTGTGTGGGGTGTGTGTTCGTGTGTGTGTGTGTGTGTTTGTGCGTGTGTTCGTGTGTTTGTTTGTTTGTTTGCGTGTTTGCGAGTTCGTATGTTCGTGTGTTCGTGTGTTTGTGTGTTTGTGTGTTTGTGTGTTTGTGTGTTTGTGTGTTTGTGTGTTTGTGTGTTTCCTTGTTTGCTTGTTTGCTTGTGTGCTCGTTTTCTGGTTTGCTTGTTTGCTTGTTTCCTTGGTTGCTTGCTTGTTTGCTTGCTTGTTTGCTTGGTTGGTTGCTTGCTTGCTTGCTTGGTTGGTTGGTTGGTGTGTTTGTTTTGTTTGTTTGATTGCGTGTTCGCGCGTGTGTGTGTGTGTGTGTGTGTTTATTTCTCTCTTTGTGTCTTTGGTTCCTTGGTTCTTTGTTTGTTTTCTTGTTTTTCTGTGTGTTTGTGTGTGTGTGTGTGTTTGTGTGTCTCCGTGGTTGCCTCGCTGTGTGTTTTTGCGTGTCTTTGTGTCTCTATGCCCTTGTGTCCCTGCTCCGTGTGTCTCAGTGTCTCTGTCTCTTTGTCCCTTTGTGTCTCTGCCTCCCTTTGTGTGTGTCTGTCTCTGTCTATGTCTGTCTCTGTCTATGTCTGTCTCTGTCTGTGTCTGGCTCTGTCTGTGTCTGTTTGTGGGTGTCTGTGTGTGTGTGTCCGTCTGTATCTGTGTCTCTGTGTCTCTGTGTCTCTGTGTCTCTGTGTCTCTGTGTCTCTGTGTCTCTGTGTGTGTGTGTTTGTGTGTGTGTGTGTCTGTGTCTGTGTGTGTGTGTGTGTCTCTCTGTGTCTCGCTGTGTCTCTCTGGGTCTCTCTGTGTCTCTCTGTCTCTCTCGGTGTCTCTCTGTGTCTGTGTCTGTGTCTATGTGTGCGTGGTTGTGTCTGTGTGTCTGTGTGGCTGTTTTTGCGTTTGTGTCACACTAGTCTTTCTCCTCAAGCCTTGCCACTTGAGCTTGTTTTTGGGCCATCTTGTGCAGACTTCTCTTGAAGGATTCAGCATTCAGGTGGAGTTCCTCGGGGTGCAAAAGGTCCCACGGGGCCCGGAGCCTTTGTACGTGCTGCGCCTCTTCCCCACCCACGCCACACGGCGCCAGCCCTTCACCTTCGCCACGGACGGGATGAGTGGGGACCAGCGGGTTGTTCTTGAACCATGTTTGCATTCTATTGGCATAATGTATGGCTCACCACGGTAAAGGTACTTTTTCTGGGGATCCAATTCTTAATTCAGCTTTTGGATGTTTAGCAGAACTTGCAGATTCTAGAGCCAAGATGGGAAACGAGCCGAGCTAGCGGTGAAGTCGCTCAAGGCCAGTTTGCTTTGTGACTTGGCGCCGGCTTCCGTGCCTTGCCCCGGCACGTTCTAAGTTTGGGAGCAGCAGGTGCAAGCATCTGATCTCTGAGCGGCAGCTAGTCTCCTTTTTTGGACGTGTTCCCTACCAAAATTTAGCCAACGCAAAAGTGTTCTTTGTTGACCAGAGTGGAGCTGTTGGCATGACTTGTCGCAGTTTTGCTGACAGGTGCTCCAGGGTTAGTCAAAGACGCTGAAGAAAAGGCAATGCCTTGAGTAGCGGAGCTCCCCAAAAGCAATTGGAAAATTTACCCAAAGGTTTGCTCCAAAAATGGGGCCTGGATCGGATCACTGGTTTCGGAGACATGACGAAGGTGTCGTACCGGATTACTTTTCTCGAGTACAGTTGTCCAGATCAATGGTATCGAGCTGATTTGAGACAATTAATTAGGTGTCCCAGCCCCTCCGCCAAATGCTTTTGAGGATCGTGTTTGTTGGTGGACCTTGCCTGTGGGCAGAGTTAAGGATCCCCCAGCCCACAGCGTCCCTTTTTGGTGGACCTTTCTCGAGGAGCTGAGAGTGTGTTCCTACTGCATCTGGGGGCACACAACATTGACCCTAAACCTTTTCCTGAATCTTCCTGGGCCTCGCCAAGACATCCCTAACCTCCCTAGACATCCCTAAACCTTTTGAGCATGACATTTGGTGCATTCGCTTCGTGCGCCGGTATTTCCGCAAAGTCGACTTCCTTGAAGTGTTTCTTGTTCCAGCCCTTTTTGCATGGCACCCCTCCTGGCTTTGAGTTGTTTCTGTTCCCCCGGTCGGTGCACGTGTGGAAAGCGACCTTTCCCTGGGTCCCCTGCTGCGCTTTTACCCTTTTTTGGGGGGGAGGGTTCCCTACTAAAATAGACAAAAAAAGTTGGTGTTATTATTCCAACCTCTCCACTGGAGCACCTAGTTCCGGTACGCTTTTCCGGACGTGTGTTTTGCTTCGGCTCGCTTCGGTGCTTCGGATGGACACGGAGGAGACCTTAAACGAGGCACAGCAGTGGCTGGCGGTGCTGGTGACAGCCATGGAGCGGCCGAAGGTGCAGCCGCAGCCACGCAGCAGGCGGAGTATTGGGGTGGGATGGGGAGGGTGGGGTGGGTGGGCAGGTTTGTGGGGGGCGGGGAGGTGGATACATGTTTTTTAAAAAAAAAAAAGCAAAAAAAAAAAACAAGTCTTGCTTGCAGACAACTATGTTCTTGCCATAGATTGATTGGAGCGGTAAGTCACACGGTTGATTCTTTGTTATGAGTTCGTGGATCCCTTTGAGTCACCAGGCTTCGGGCGGGGACGCCGCCGAGAAAAGTTCGGACCTGCGAAAATGTTTGTGGCCAACGAGAAAGTGGGACCCTGAATATGAGGGAGGATCACGGAAAGGGCACGGGGGTGAGAATCCCTGTGACTGATCTTGGTGAATCAAGCCCGCTTGATTCATTTAGTTAATGGGAAAGGGTCTGGGTCCAGGTCGGGGACTCTGAATCCTTTGGGGTCCCCGGGCTCGTGTAGGGTGCCTAGTTAAAATATGTACAAATCTTGCCAGGTGTTTTTTTTAGATGATTAGAGTGATTTTCCAGCCTATTTTAGCCTTCAGTACAGCCCGCCTTTCGCCTAGTTGGCTGCGGCTGGTGGACTTCTGGGATGCCGTGGGGCCTCCGCCGGAGAGCGCGCCGCCCCCCGCGCGCCTGAAGTTGCAGGCGGGCTGTGCGGATGTTGTTGTTCCAGACGGTTTGGATCGGGCTAAGAAAAAGGAAGGGTTGGCTTGCTGGGTTTTACGCTAATTGTCTTGGTGATATTCTTGTCCGTTTTGGCGCATTGGTTTTATCTTGTTTTCTTTTTTTCTTTCGAGGCAACTGCAAGAGACAATGATCCCCTTCGGAACGGAAAGCAGTCTGCCCAAAGTGTGGGGCATGCAAAACCGCTGGGTTTGTCTCCAAATGAAGTTCTTTGGGTTAACAGACCCCCCAAGAAGTCATACAGTATTCGTGACTGGGAAAGAACATCAGCACCCGCCCCCCTCCCCCCCCCCCTCGCTGGACGCAATACTCAGGGTAGTCTAAATGGTTCAAACGGATAGTGCATCCTCGACCCCATTTGAGTTGGAAGCCACTCGGGCCAACTATGGTGACCTCACAAAGCGGGTGGCGACGGTTGCAACCGGTTGAAGATGCCTCACTTAACTTGGGGATTCCCTGCTTTAGTTGTTTTGAAGCATAGTACTCTTATTGATCAGAACCACGCTTAGGGTTCCCCCCCGGCATGTTGAGGGGTTCAATGGGTCCGAATCCTGTTTCGAGAGACGCATGTGTTGTCACGTCCGTTCATGGCCCGATTTCTCCAGAGATGGAGCCAAAAAGGAGCCAACGGGGAAGACAAAGGAGGAAACCAAAGGAAACCCGACACTGAAGCCAGCAGAAAAAGAGGACACCCAAATAGAAGTCCTTCAAAAAACTAGGCAAACCAAAAAGAGTCACCCAAAAATCCTCCACCTCCCCCCCCCCCATCCCCTGGCCTTGCGGCCCAGGTTCTCCGCACTTTTGGCCTAGTGGCATCGGCCCACGTGGCGCAGGAGGCGCTGGGCCCAGAGGGGTGCCAGTACCCCTGCAACAAGCGGGGGGGGGGGGGGGGAGGCGCTTTTTTGTCCCCCGGCGGAGTCGGCCAGGAGACCTGGGCGTTTGGTTGGGTGTTTTGGGTCCTAAGGGCTTCGTGTTTTTTGGAGCTCGAGTTTGTTTAACATGGCAGGTGAGGCAGGAAAATCTGGCAAAGGAGAATCGGGAGAAACAGGTAAAGGGAAGCCAAAGCAATACCAAAATGGAAATTGGAGGGAACCGAAGGAATACCAAAGGGAAATGAAATAGAAGCCAAAAGGGACACGAAAGGCAACAGAACGGGCGCAAAGAGAACCGAACATGGTCTGGTCCCATTTTAGTGTCGCTTCAGCTTCCCCTCCACCCCAAAGAAAGACACCCGTGTCGTTGGCTCTTTTGGACCCCTTTGTGGATATCATAATTAGCGGGAATTCCCATGTCCGTGTGGACGAGGGTGCGGACAGCAACCGCACATGCCCGCCCACCTGCATATCATTTCGGCATCTTTGAGCAACCCTGACAGTTTGGGTTTGCGAGCGAAATTCCACCATGATCCATGATCAAGCTTGCTTTTACACAGAGCCATTGGCTTGCGAATTAGTATAGACAACGTGCACATCAAAGTCCACCCAAACGTGGGACACACCCAAAAATATTCACTTGCTGAGCCCCTTGCTGAGCCCCTTTACTTGCGGCCAACGCCACGCCCGCTTAAACCCAGTTCCCCTGTTGGGGGTAATGCGCCCAACCCTGGGTTTAAGTCAACCCTAGAGCCTTGCGGCCAACACCACGGCCTGCCCCGTGCTTCGGTGTTTTGGACCAGGTGGGCACGGGACAATTCGCGGCCGCGGGGCCCCACAACCTCTACGTCCTGGGCTCGGTGCGGGACTGCCACTTCCGCACCGGCACCCGCCGCTCGGCCCGGGTGGTTGGTCGGTAAAGGGGGCTGTTTGATGAAAAGGAGCCATTTGCAATAGGTCCCCCAGTGCCAACTTTTACCGTTTCTTGTTTTGGGGGAGGGTTCCCCTGCTAAAATCGACTACAGAAAACAGGGGCGGATGTTTGATGGAAAGGAGCCATTTGGGTTTTAGGAATTGGACCACAGGTGTTGGTCCATGTTTCCACTTAGGGCAAGCCATCTGGGGTACCTCTTTTTGACCCACAGCCATTTGCACAAAGGGCTGATACATTTGAGCTGTAGTTTACAAATTTGGGCCCAAGACGAGGTCTGTTATGTTTCATGGGGGGGAATAGTAGAGGAAGGTCAAAGAAACTTCTAAGCATACTTTGTTTGGCAGAAGGCGAGCCACCGGAGAGACCAAAACGAGGCTCAACCGCAACTGGTAGGTTTTCGTGCTGGATTTTCTGAAACAACGCACGACTCGGTATCCGAGTTGTCCATCTGAGACTACCTGAAATGTGCAACTCTCAGTCACGCTTTTCAGCAGCATCCTCCAAAAGCTCTTGCACAACAGCGCACAATTGCACCTCGCGCAACAGCGCCCTGCCGCGCAAAACATGCCTGACCCATTCCTCCTCTACAACCCCCTAGCCTCTAGCCGTTCGCGCACCCACTGCAAACGGTCGGTGACCCATGAATTCACGTGAGGCTATGGAGTGGATTGCAGCGGGGTCACCATCTTTGGGCACAGCTTTGAGCTGCCACTGGACTTCGAGTCGCCGGATGAGATGTTGAAGCTGAAGGCGCCAAAACGGTTCTCCAGTTCATTGTAAGGATTTTTTATAAGCCTCCTCATAAGGCTCGGTATTTCGGACTCCTTGGCAAGGCTACTCACAAGGACTCCGCCCCATTGGTGGACCCCTTGGTCGGTTTCAAGAAGGGATTCAAGCCCGAAGCACCAATCCAGTCCAACTATGTGTGGGTTTTTGTTGGAGGGTGTTAAATGGGAAGCCAAAAGGAAATCTCCAGTTTGTGGGTCTGCCGTATTTTAATACACCCATATAATGTGTGTTTGTTGGCGGGCGTGGGAGCTCGAGTCTGCAGTGGGTTTCATCCACTTCTGCTGATGTTGTTTGGGTAGGTCACTTAGCCAACAGCCTGTTTCCCTCCTTGTAGCAGTGAATGAAAAGGGTTTGTGCGAATCTATGATAGAATTGGCTCAAGAGGCAAGATCATTCAGGGAATGTTTGTGCGTCGCAAGAAGGATGCGACTCGTGTCTTGTGAGTCGGGAGGCACAGGGTGGGTACTGTGCGCAGAGTACAGTAGCTTCCCTGGCCGCTAGTTTTTCTTTCTAGGATCTGTGTTGCTGGAAGCTGTCAGGGAGTGCTTGATGACATTCCCGGTTCATACAGCATGTTGCAGCGTTGCAACGCTGCGATAGGTTTAGTCACACTGTTCGATGGTGACACTGTCCATGGACAAACACAGGTGCCACACGTAGACTATACAATGATACATAGATACATATGTATACATAGATGTGTATGTAGTATCTTCAAACCATTGTTGAGTAAGATTGGAGTCTGAAAATTCAGAAGCAAAGACTAAGTTTGCTATGTGCATAATAATATACATACACATGTATACGCCAGTTAGAGTTGCTCATTCGCTTATGTATTGAATCATTGAGCTATTTGTGTACTAATGTGTTTATTGGTTGATTTCCATTGATGTGCTGATATTCTATACTATCAGTAGTTGTAGGTTGATATTCAATGAACATGTCAATGTGGAAAGCGTTCAAGAACACTGCAAGACTGGCGAGATCAAGGTCCATTTTGCAAACAAGAAGCGGAGAAACGCCGACAAGCCGCCAAAGGTCAGACGTTCAGACCTCCTACACAGCTGTTTTGAAGAACAATCGTTAAATCAACATGGCGAGGGAAACGAGGGGGCCTCTTGCCATTCAAGGTTGTGTCACAGGGAGACCCAAAGAACAACGACTACTTTGGGCCCAAACCCGACCCTCCCTCCAGCAGTCATGGAAGAGGCGTCGGAAGACAACATTTCCTTTGGGCAAAAGCGGGCATTTCAAGACATACCCGGTGCCTTTTGGGGGGTTAACCTTTGGTGGCCACGTGTCTCTGGCGCCCTTCTTGGGCAAAACCAAAAGGGACGCCAAAATGGTAGTTTCCTTCTTGGCTTTCTGGCAGAAGCCCGTTTCCCTTCAGTTTCCCCTCGAAGAAGGGCCTCCAAAAAGAGCAAAGAGGTCTACCACGAGCCCGAGTACGATGACAGCGAGCCCCTGCTCTTGGGCTCCATCACTGTGCCGCTCTTCGCGCTGCGGCGCAGGCGACAAATCTGCCTTCAGCTGCCGCTGAAGCAGGAGTCCGAAACGGCACGGCAAATGTATGCGCCTCACTTCCGTGGTTCCGAAAGGGACTTGAGCCGCTTTTTGGGTTTGTAAATACAAAGTTTGGTTGCCTTCTTTTGGCCAATCCA